TATATAGCCGTAGAAAAAAAATATTTTTTCATAGCTTACTTAGTTTCAAAACCATGTATTGCCCATACTGTGAGAAATATTTTTTCTCACGGCACTTTGCCAACATCACATACATTTCAATGGAGAATCAAGAAAAATCGACCAAAACTTAATTGGCTGGTGTTCAGCTTTGAATAGTTGTCACAACTGCCAGAAGAAGTTTTTAAATTCTTTAGGGTAGTTCTCATTAGTGCTTTTCATAGAAATCGCATTTTCCATCAAATATTGTTCCAACAATTCATAATAAATAATATGATGTATATACATATACCGAGATGTGACGATTTTGATGAATACACCGCCAGAGACAGAGATAACGGAAGAAGCTGCGAAAGTTGGATTTGTTTCCGGAAATTTCAAGAAAAAAGTATGAATTGGCATACGAAGAATTTATGAAATCTTAAAAAAAATACAGAAATAAAATCTTTTTCGGAAAGTGTACTTTTTTGAAATACTCATATAAAGGAACTAGGAAAGGCGTCTACTCTTTGGTCACAATATTCAATGTGGCATAGTGCCACATTATAAAATGAATACCAATGAGTTACATTACTCGAATTCTTTGATATAAGTGCAGTTGTAGAAAAAGTATAGTGTGCAATATGTGGGGAAAAGCACTTTACTCACTTGTTGCACAATATATCATTTCGAATGTAGAGCTATTCCAGCTAAGACGCTTCAAAACGTCCGCGAAAAGTTCGAATATCGGCTATACTTGTGGCTTAGAAAACAATGAAATCCTTTTAGAATAATTTATAATGTTACACAACGTTTAATAACATCAAATTATCTTCATCATTTCTATCGGTTGATGATGGATACTCTTTAGATCCGAAACATGTCTCCTTCCCATTTATAATTTGATGATATCAAATGTTGTGCGGAGACGACTTGGAATATTTTTACTACTCTAACTATACTTCACTCCACTTTGAGACAGTAGACTTCTACAGTAGATTGAATAAGGTGAGCTTTTTCATCATTCTTTTTTCAAAAGTTACAAATTGAATACCTCCCACATCCCACTTCAATTCTGATATAAAGAATATGGAATCTATAGAATCTTCACTCAGAAAAATAGTCGGTTGTGAATACCAAACGTTTAGTAAAATAAGCGCCAGTCTCTGCATTAATCAAATAATACCACAACAAAATTGTATCATACTATACAATATAAGTATCATACTATTTTCAAGAGTAATACTTGTTATAGTATAGTATTATTCAGTTTTTGTAGTGGTATTATTAGATGAATTTAATGACTGGCGTCTATTTTACTTAACGTTTGGGAATGTTCCTCAGAAATCTCGACTATAATTACTAGCAATACCAGTCAGACAAACTTGATAGGCCCAGTCAGAACATCCTTTCGTCATTAACCTTGAAATATGTCGAACAACACTCTACCAAAACTCGTTCATCTATAGAACGGCGAAGCTTTGGTATTCGTTGCTATTGGAAGTATTCCCAAGAACTGATATTCTCTAAAAGTTCAAAAAAACAAATCCAACACCCACCTCATCTCCCTATTCTCCCTAAGCGTACGCACGATGTTTCACGAACATTATAGGAATTTCCTTTCGTGCGCTCCAAGAGATGAAACAAATACTTAATGAACTCAGGAATAGCGAAAACATAGTGGTTGCTATTTCAAATTTTGGGAGTAGATGCCTTGGGGGTCAGGGGGTTGAAAGTAAACCGACGACAAACGCCGACGACGTGTTTAGCCAGATTTTCATACACTATCATTGGCTCAGGCAATATATTGAATGCTGCTCGTTCTCAAATTGACAACCTGTATGTAAAAACAACAATTACGTTCAAAAATCCACGTCATATATTATCTCAATGCATTCGATTGCATTTTATCGAATTAGATTTTGCACTTGTTATCTATTCATTTCAACTGACCTAATTATATACATTCAGATAATTATTGAAATGCCCCACTGATCAATAAATTATAAATATTTATTTGGTCCATTGGAAACAGGCTAAAGTATTTTCAGCTAAATGACAATTAATATAAGATCGAATTTTGCGTAAATATCTACGAAATAAAATAAGAGCATTATTTATGTATACTGGACTAATCCATAATAATTCGTTATAAATATGAAATACATTTTAATTGTTGTTTAGTAGATTGACAACATTTGTTTTAACAAGTGCAGAGTTTTCCGAAATGTTTAAAAAACCGTGATAGAAATAAACAACTGAATATATTTCTCGTGAAGTGAATGTGAACTTTAGATATAGTGAAAAGTGTGCCAGAGACAATAAATCATGAATATATTAATAATTTACACTGGATCCATATACAACGATCAGCATTTATCTTTCGATTTTCATATTACTTTCTATCAATATCAAACCACACGCTTCTTCCTAAATGATTACCAAACTTTGGATGCACCTATTTGTAGCTAAAAATCATTAAAACATATAATAAATCAGTTGAGTCAGTTTACAGTATTACTGAATTTCCATTAATAGGAAATGAAAAGTACCTTAAACGATACGATTTAATGATTGTTGTGTATTTGTGATATACCTACCTACAATGGATTGATATTCGTCTTGGAGTAGCGACACTGGTGATGTAACAAATCATAAAACGAAAGTATTTAATATGAAAGAAGACATTACTCATATAATGGATACAGTCTCATAAAGAAATATGATTCAAAACTACTCACATGTGAACGCAAAATTATACGAAATTTCGATAATTACCTACGATCCGAGGCCTAATAACACATTTTTCTTCCTTTCGGTAGGTATGATAAAAACCGCAACATAATATAAATGAAGTTAAATACAGTCTTTTAATAATACAATGCAGGAATTGACAAGCGTATAACTTTTGTTAAAAATAACAGAGTAAAACGAATAACTGCACTACCGAGTGACTGACGCTATACTTATTCGTGTAGGTATATTTATTCAATTTTGTTGCAGATTATCGTCACATTTTTAAATAATATACATCAATGTTTGATAATGAGTTATCTATAGAAATATAACATCTTCATTTTTTTCCTGAGCGAATAAACACTTCAAAACACACGGATGAAAAAATGAATTTTTACAACAATCCATAATCTATATATCATTAATAATACGCAGTATATTATAATATGCTAGGAATTGAATTTTATTTTTTGTATAGTTCATGATGTAAAACTCATAACTGCATGCGTTTCTTCTGTCATGTTACCTTCACGCCGATGAAATTGATTTTTTCATTCATTTTATTAAAAAACGTGTCGTTCGACATCGTGATTGTTATAGTTATCCCTATAGGAATCTATCAAACTTCGATTTTCTGTACAGGGTGTCCCATAACTTATTCAACAATAAGCAAAATTTGAATCAAATAAATAAGAAGGTTGGGTCAATATATTGTTGCCAAATGTTGATGAAATTTACCAGGATTCAATTCATCATAGAATATTATACCTATAGTAAACGCCTTCTAGGAACTAGTTTCTAATTTATACCACGTACCCTCTTAAACCCGATAACTGCAAATCAGAATTTGAAGTTTTCAAACATTTTCAGATAATTTCAATTTGGTAAAGAACATGTTTTATTTTCAACTTCTTGTATCTTTTCAATGACGAACATTTGCCAGCACATGATATATTACATAAACTGAGTCTTCGTATTGTGATCACTATATAGGGTGATTCAAAATTCGATCTAAATATTTTAAGGACGTATTGTTTGGATCAAAATGAGACTTTTTCTTCATATGAACATCTGTCCTTAATTTTTCTTTCTTTTTTTTTGAATTATCTTCTATGTTTATTATTTATTATCATCTTTATTATTCCCAAGAAACATATATATGTTTATAGCAATAAAAGTGAGAACCCCCCTCCAACTCCCTAAAACTGGGTATACATATTTTTTTGGGTATATAAGAATGAAATAAAGTTTTTAAAAAGACAGGGGCCTGCCAATTTCCAGAAGATGAATTTCTGATGAATATATATATATCTTTTTTCATTACCTAATTTACAGTGGCTGTAGCTTTGGAGGGGGAGAATGTTAGGACACATGTTTATATAAAGAAAAAGTCTTATTTCGATCCCAACAATATGGCCTTAAAATATTTACATCGAATTTTGGATCACCCTGTATAGTATGACAGTGACTCTATGATAGATATGTTATAACGCTTAACGAAATAACAAGTAATCAAGTTAGGTGAACCATAACTTACAGTGGAGGTTATATATAGGGGTAAAAGAACTTACTATCACAACTCCACCACATAAACAATTTGATAATGACGAACGGTCATGGACAAAAGGACATGTTTCGAAGGATAAATCCTTCATCATCAGCAAATTTATAAAGAAGAAAATCATTATTGGTGGAACAATAAAATTACTTAAATAACCTAAGACATTATTTTAAACAGCGCATAGGGAACAAACATTATAACTAGCTCTATAAGAGCCTAAATTTCAAAACTCAAATTCGAAGAAAGATTTTACACACGAGGTGTGTGTGATCGCACGAGTCTCTCTCCTGGGAGTTGCTAGTAAGGGAGCAACCGAATGACGGATAGAAACATTCTAGAATATACATTTTGGAACAGTTTAAGAACATCTCTGGTACGTCTGTTGCAGATAACACAATCATTTTGCAACTTGTTATATTGATAGTTATTTCTTTCATTACAGTTGTAGATGTAGGTAGTTATGGAAATGTTAAACATAGCATCATTCACACAGTGTATATATTATACGATATTATTGGATATTTAGAATCCAAGAAAACAAAGTTGAATGGAGATGATGATTCATGAAAACAGAATAGATAAATTGAATATTTCACGTAATCTGAAATCCTTTGAAAGAATCATCCGCATCAAAGATCAAATTGATATTGCAGTGGTCGGTGAATAGAAAGTACTTAATGTGTAAACCTTCCTGTCGGTTCGTACCATGTATGGCTCTTATACAGCAGAGCAATCCGCTGGTTCAGTCGCTACATCCAGTAGCACTAGTACCACATGGTCGAATCCAGCTACCACCATGACATCAATGTACGCATCTTCTGCTGGACCGTTACCTATAGCATATCCGTCAGCGTTCGATCCAGGACCGAGCTCCTCTGTTTACTCACAGCCTCCTATGTTCCCGTTCGCACCATATTCCACGATGCACATGTCTTTCGATTATCCACAGGTATACAAGAACATTAAGATATAGGGAGTGGGATAGTAATAAGTTCAGACCAATAAAAATGTGCAAAAGATCTTCTTGATTTTTATGACGAATTCCTGTGAAATGATAATGTTTTCATCTTCACTAAAGTTAGAAACTTATCATTGCTATATCCACGCCATATTTCACTGTTTTAAGATCCAGTTATCAATGTAATCTGATAATGTTATTGATTCTAATCGTATTTAGAGAGCTGACATGTATTACCAAGTAGTTAACAATTTATTCGACGAAAGCTTGTCAACAGGGAAATTCCTTATTGCGAATACTTGAAACAATATCGCATCAATCAAACAAATTTGTTATGAAACACTCAAAAAGTTGAGGGATGTCCGAGTTACTATTCTTACTAGTCATATTAACTATAATAGTAAAGCGTTACTCAGAGTGTGCTCTCTGTCCAGCTACTCCGCAAAGTTAACGGTAGGGCTCCATGAAGTGCCAAGTGAGTTCCTCAGTCACCCTAGCCACCTTAGTCACAGTTATATAAAAATAATTCAGTTCTAGCACCAACACTAATTTCTACTCCATATCAACGATTTGTTGGAAGCAACCTCATGTCCAGTACACACCTTCGCAGATGATAGTACCCTCCATACCGCCTTCTCTTCCAGGGCTCCAATACCAACCAGGCAAATCAGAAACGAACGGGAATCCAATAACTTGATAGATTTCAATGCAAACAAAACACAAGCATGCCTTTTCTCTGGAAAAGCCGATCTCACTATGCCCAACATAAGCTTGCTAGGAGTAACCATACCTTTGAAGATATCTATTTCGATGCTTAGTAATACTATCAGCAATAACCTTTCTTGGGAAAATCACGTGAGATCATTTGCTAAAAGTGCATTCCAAAAACTTTGTTTTCTGTTTCGAGCCAGGAGCTATTTCACTTCCAGTCAGCTGCTTATGATCTATGAGGCACAGATCCGACCTGTCCTGGAATACTGTTCCTATATTTGAAGTGCAGCACCCAAACATACCCTGAAACTGATGTTGGATTATTTCCAAAAAAGGGTAATTCGTCTCGTGGGTGACGCCTCGCTCACAAACTCGGTCACTTCTCTAGAACACCGTAGGAAAGTTGGCGATCTGGCTCTATTTTATAGATATTCTCATAGACGATGCTCTCCTGAAATATCAACAATTCTTCCTCCCTTGGCAGTCCCCGCGAGATAAACCCCTCGAGTTGAGGCTTCGCTTTGGAGACCTGCAGAACATCTCTTTCCAAAGACACGTTCATCCAACGAACAGCAAGGCTCCGGAACACATTGCCAAAGGAGGTGTTTTCCGAGGCATATATAACCTCCAGAAATTCAAGAAGAACAGCAATTCCTACCTTATTACCCTTGGTTCTCACGATGTTCTCTGAACATTACAGGATATCCGTTTTCGTGGGAACCAGAACATTAAAAAAAATTGGTGTCATATATCTCAATGATCTGAGAGGGACTTTTGAATCTTACTTTCCTGAATGACAGAATACCTTGGAATTGGATTCAAAATCCTCCTTCATTGAATATGCAGAAACCTGAAAATATGTCGTATCAGATCTATGACACAAGCATGGTTCCATTGTTAAAAATAATTTGATGAATATCCACAACTTGCCACAGAGGCTGAGTCGCCTTAGTCACCTTAGTTAAATTAGTCACCTTAGTCACAGTAATATAGAAATACTTCGAAATTACTTATTACAGAAACAACCCGTATCTCTTCCCACGACTGTGGCACAGAAAAACTCGTGATCTTAATGGAAAACAACTCAAGAATAGTATGATAAGTCCCAACAACAGATATTTTATCGGCTACGCATTAATCATTGGAGTTTCCTCTATACATCAAAATTGTTGGAAAGATTATCAAGACCTGACCTGCAGCCAACTCTAATTATTATGGTGTCATCAAATGAATATTAGAAATAACTATTCCCTGAGATTTTCCACGGAGTTGATAATCCCTAAAGAACTGCGCGCTTTACATATACTTATGTATATACCTATGTAATAATATATGATGCTATACGTTTTATTAAATCAACCTCTTCCTGAACATCGTCCTAGATACGCTACTGCCCAACATTCTTACTCGTTTCTTTTTCTCTGATATTGTGATAAGAACCGAATAATAATTTATCTTCCAATTTCTTGAAAAGTTTTAACCCACCCCACCCTTTCTCTTACTCCTTTTGCTCTCAGTTTTTAATCACAGCTTTCTCCATTTCGGCGCTTACCTGTCCGTTTTAATTCGTCATTATTGAAATAATGTTCCACTTTTAATATTTCATTAGGATTTGAAGGTTTTTTTATTTCATTACTGCTTGCTCTGGCTCGGCGACTTCTGGACTCTTCAAAATCCTGGATTCTACTTCAAATGGAGGGAAATAAAAAGAGGTCATTACTGGAAGAAAAAGAGATAGACGTCTTGAGATCTAACTAGATCTCTTCTTCCGGAGATTCAGATCACGATTTTACATGTTCATGTTCACTTTTTCCATACTTTTTTGGGTGTATATTATATTGTAGGTTGATATTTGAATTAGCATATGTACTGGGGTTGGTTGTGGTAGCTTTTCCTCCGATATTTTCTACGCCACTGATAATACTTGAATTCTTCACAATTTCTTGAATTCATTGTTCAATTATGTTCAAAAAATGCATTACCTTCAACTGAGTTGAAATGAACAGGTTTGGAGATATTTGCCCCAAAATAGAAGTTTGCATAGTAATTTTACATCATTCTCAGTAGTAGACTATAGTAGAAAATTACAAAAATGTTTGTACTTTTTTTCTGCATGAAATAACTATTTCTGTTCAGCTACAGAATTTTATCTAAGAAGTATTCAATCTACTTAACACCAGATTTTTTGTTGTTAATTTTTGGCCTAGACCGCATGAATGTGAATTCACAAAATTGAGATTTCTAACGAAATATTGAATTGTCCATCTTCTTCCAAGCAAATTGTAATATCTGATAAAATTGTGGAATCAATTCTTCAACGAATATCTAACGTTTCTGATCAGCAGCAACACGGAACATCCTCGGGAATTTATTTTGGAAGTGATTGTTCAAACTTAATAATAATCAATCAACAATTGACTCTATTAAACATAACTCCTTTATGAAGTTATATTTCATGTTTATTTTGGCAGTGAAAAAAATTCTTTCTTCACGGTGAAAAAATATAGTCTTGATGATTTTAAATAATCATTGCCTATATTGAATACTTCTTATACATGGAACGATCAATATGAAATAGATATGTTTTTGTGTGTACAACCCCATTGAAAATCAAACTCCTCTTGTTTAAGATAGAATGAGAATAACATATCGGGTGAAATCGGAAGAAAATGGAAAGCTCATCTGCTTCTGGCATTGCTGATGTCTATATATTGTTCGTGGGCTATTTCTCTTCATTTCTGTTTCCATGTTTCACGTAACCTGAAAAAGATTATATGTATTATTCTGTTATCTACAATACAGCATAAGAGCTTGGTATAGCTGCATAAAGAATCATCTCAACTTCGATGAAGCTCTTTTATAGAGCGGTTCTATTTCATTATGAGATATTATTGAGAGATACTGAATAAAAGGAGATCTGTTCAACACTTCCTCGTCTGCATCAGTTTCAGAGGGCTCTGATTAAACATCAAGGTTTCCAGAGAATATATTGTGTAAAATGTAAACTTCACAAACGATAAGATTTTCACAAAATTGGTGGTGACGCATAAATCTCATCTTTTGTGCTGTTTTTCACATTCACTATATGGATTCCCATCAGTTACCGAGTCAATGAAAAAAAAAAAGTGTAAAATGTTCTATATCAGCGGTTTCTATATAGAGATGAAAATAGGAAGAAAACGGTATTTCTTCAATTTCATTTCGTCAGCTGATTGAACAATGACTTCATTGTTAAACAGTTGTAGTTATCATTTACAATGAATCACTTTTCCCACGGAATATCAATTAATATTATTTATTCTATTGACACCTCTGTTTTTGAATGACCCTTTAAGGTATCGAATATTGCGGTTTTGTCTATACTAGCCCTACCGATATAAATTACTTTTACTTTTTTACTTTTTCAGAGTGAGAAACCTTCAGGTAACATATTCTGAAATCCGAATGTGAAGAAATATTCGCATTTTTTGACGAGCAGTTTCGCAAATATTCCCTCTGGAAGCATTTTTCGACAAATATTTATAAAAAAAATTTTCATCAAAATGCTTCAGGAATCATCTCATGTTCAGGAAACACCCTGTATACATATATTTCAGAGTCAGGCATTGAAAGAAACACCTTTGGATATGTCTAATGACGAATTCTCACAATCATCACTTCATTTCACTGAGAGGTTCGACCTGCGCATTGAGCAGAAGCATTTTCAGGTGATCAGTTTGAATAAGATTTTCGGGTTGCCTATAATAGGCGCTCTAAATAATAATAGTCCATATTGGTATCATTTGAGTCGTTATAGTCACGATTTTATTGTTATCTGGTGAATAGCAGCAGTGAAAATAGAAAATAAAAAGTATTCATCTATATATTTAGTTCGGCAGTCGTTTGGTATTTTGGAACTTGGAAAACGAGGAATATTCAATGACTTAGTCTTCATGTTCAAGGTTCTGATGAATCATTATGACTGCCCAACTCTATTATAATTTTTTCTCTTGACATATTCCTCCTAGGAATACTCGTAATAATTTCTTTCTCAATATAGATTATCGAGATACAAATTCAGGCCGCAATTCTCCAATTAGTAGATTAAGCAGTAGTTTTAACAAATATTGTATATATTTACTGTATGTATATATAGAGAAGTGTACAATAAACGGCCAGTGCTGTAACTTCTGAATCATTTGAGATCAGGTTTGGAAAATTGGTGAGTAGCAAGTATACCAAATTACTCATTAATTGACAAACCAATTTTTGTTCTATCACTTCCGGTTTCACTGGAAACG